TTTTCCGAATTCTGTTTCCATTCATCTCTATTTTTTGCTGTTTCTTCTGCATTCCGTTTCCATTCGTCTCTATTTTTTGTCATTTCAGATAATTGAGATTCTAATTCGTTGATTCTTTTGTAATCAGTATGGTCAATTACAGTTCTTTGATAAACAATGTTTGTATGATGAACTACATTTGGTCGTCTCCATCCACCACCTCCTCCTCTACCTGGTCTTCTACCTCCGCCTCTTCTACCACCACCATGTGGGAATCCAAGAAGGCACCAACCACCACATTTGAAGCACATTGCTTGATTTGGTTTGATTTTTTTATTCGCTTATTTATTTATTTAAAATAATTATTATATACTTTAAAAATTTAATTTAGAAATATCGTTACATGCATTAACTAACAAATTCATTTTATGATTTATACTAATATTGATATCATATTTAATATTTAATAAAGACAAAGAACGATCGATATCTTGTTCTAATTTCACTATATTTGTTTGTTTGAATAATAACAAGTACATTACTTTGTTAAAGTTCTGATATAGAGCGTAAAAGTTGTGTAATATTTCATTGAGGCGTATATTCCAAATAGTGATTTTCAAATGCAAATCTGAAAGGTCGTATTTTATCAGTTAATATATATTTTTTCGAAAAAATTTTAAGTTTCAACGAATAAAATAGTTACCAATTAGAAATTTTATCATCGTGAATTAAATAATTTGATGCCAAATTTTAAAGTTTTATATTTTAATTCTATTATTACTTTTTAGTTTCAATTGTAACTAATTTAGTTTTATTCAATTTACTTTTAGTTATATTAAACGCAGATCAATCAATATGATTTATTTTATTGTTTTATGCAAAGTAAAAATAAATATAAATTGTTTACTTCATCTTTGGTTTTATTTTAAAAATTTAATAATGAGTACTAAAGATTATCCAAATATTAAGATCGCTGTTAGGGTTGAATCTAATTGTTATTCTAGATCTTTTTATCATTTTAATTTTTTAACGTTGGATAAAAAGGATTATGTTGCAGAAGGATTTGGAGTTGTTGCTCCTCAAAATTATTTTGAAAGTAACTTTTTTAAGTTATTAAATTTGATTGACAATACTGTTAAAAAAAGTCAAGATGAAAACGAAACCCTTAAAAATAAAAATAAAGAACTACAAAACATCGACGAAAAATGTAAAAGACTGACCAAAGAAAACGAAAAACTCGTAAAAGAAAACAAAGAATTAAAAATGGTATATTTAATTTCAATTATCATTAATATTTAATTATATATTTATTGATTTTATTTTATTTAATTAGGAAATTGAAAAA